ATACTTTTCTTAGTGAAAACTCTACCAATCACATACAAAAATGTTTTATGTATTTGCCTAAAAGATGATTTACTCTGGTGTTATGTCATCTAAGCACATAGCCTTAAAATAGTGCTGTTTTTCTTGCTGATTGATACTGTGAAAAGTTACTGCTTAAACATGTGCCGTAATACAGAATATGTACATTAAGTGTAGTTTGTTAATTTAGAAGAAAATGAACTAGCTATAAGACAAGTATAACTAGATTATGTTACCATATATAATTCAGATAAAATTTTTCTTAAATAGATTAGGCTCTTATCAGTGATCACTTTTACGTTCAGTCTGAATAAATGAAACTTTAAGACATTTATAATTCTGAACATTGATACATTTTTCATAAAAAGATTTCTACTTTTTTAAGAAATAGAGCTGTCAATCAATATTAAAGATAAAAGTTAGTAAAATAGATCCGTTTTCATTTAATTATAGTGATTTCACTGGAAAAAATAAATGTAGAACTTAGCGTTCTCTGACTATGATGTTCCGAAAAGTGGACAAAATATCAGGTCGACCGGTGTCCGGCACTTTAGAAGGTTCCCTCGTAAATAGTTATTATATTTCTACTAAAGTATATTTCGAAACAATATTCTCGTTTGTCTTATTATTGCAAAAAGTCCCCATAAGGACATTTTCGATACACTTATCGCGATAAGTGCTTGTTTTATCGAGGCTGTCACGAAGTTTTTGCAGTTAGCGATAAATAATTTATTTGTTGCCACAACGTCATTATCGCGAAAACAATCTTTATCGTTTATAAGGAAACTTGTGCACCTGTCTAATTTGACCTGCTTTACAAACTGACGATATTAGAAGCTCTTCGTTCGATTATTTGTGATGAATATTCAACGATTCAGTTTCTCTAGATCCATACTGAAAAGCCATATGAGTGGAAATGAACATCAGGCCCGTAATCAGCATCAAAAATAGCTTATGTAAAAGTGTGTTTTAGTCAAATCGGGCCGTATCACTTGGAGCAGTTCCTTCATGAGAGGTAAATCTGCGAATCAAACGCAAGATCTTGGGACATTTCGCGGGGCAGGATCTTGCCGATGAAATGTCAACTAAACTCCTAGCATCGCTACTTCAATACTTTCACAATTTATTTTCTAGAAAAAATTTTCGTTTAGTTACGAAGTCCATTATTTTGAATTCAGAAATGACCCGTATTATGCGGGTCTCAACATTCCGGAAATAAAACTTAATAATCATGCAATTGATCAATTTTCATCAGTGTAATTGAACAAGACCAACATTTAATCAAAATCAACAGATTGATCATAACCTTTAATGGAGGATAATAGGACATTTGAAGATGAAGAAGATCTTGGAAGATCAGAAACCATTGACGGTATAAGCTCTTTTGTTTTCTGCCCAAATTCATCTAATCTTTAGTTAATATGTCAAAATAGACAAAAATTGAGATCCTATCAAAATAAATGCATGAGCGAGAAAGAGAAACGGTCGTCTGTGTATCAAATTGCAGAATACTTTTTATTGATTTTTTTTATAGGTCTAATCGACAGACATGCTTTGACCTACGAAGAAAGTGATCCTTCGTCAGAGATAGTTAATACTGACTGTAATATCCGTTTTGGAGCAAGTGTCCTGTGTTTAACTGAATTTCAATCCAATGATCGTTTCACCGGTAATGTTAAATATGTAACAGAAGTGGAATCAGTTTGTGTTGTCTTACAACAGCACAGAACCCATCCAACACTTTTTGAAACTGAACCGATAAATTTTTTTGAAGTTTCGAAACATTTATCTAATAAGAAAATTCAGAAAGCTTTCCACAAACCGAATCGAACCGATCCAATTTTCGAAAAGCTCAAACCGAACCATCCCCACTTCTGAGATGTGATATAAACGTTGATTTTTCTTTTAAGAAAATTTTCCAGTTAGCTTAGACTTTTTTTGACCATCCAGTTTTTTTGTAGGATTTAACGATCATCCACTCGAGATTTCGCAGAGAATAACCCGTGAGTATTGACACAATGAAGTAGAAAATATTTATTTATAGAAAATTCTTCTTTCGAAGATCCATCATCTGGCGATCAGCAAACATTATCACCAGCACGTAAGTACATAAATTACGCGATACATAGCGAAGAAATTATCCCATGACATTCTCTTATTGATTTTATTTACATTCAAGTTCTAACAGCACCTAATTTAAATACGAGCCTGGTCAATCAGAATACTTTTATCAACTATTTTCACTTTCCCAACGGTAAATTTGGATTACTTTTATCGTTTTGAGTATGAAACATTTTTCGTTTTATAATATTTTATAAATAATCTGTAAATGATCTTCTTCTATCCTTGTTTTGCAGTTCATATAACAGACGATATCAAACATGAAGCATCTTTCCGTATTATGTCATCTGATACTGAAGGTGAAACTGAGCAAAGCGTCGAAGAATCCGAGCAAGGAATTTCACTAATGCAAAGTAATACAATTTTGTTTCTATATACTAATACATCAAACTGGATATTTGCTTCAGTACACTCAATTAGCCACGAAGAGCGAGAGGCGGCAGCAAATAATTCAACAATGCATATAGATGACATCTCAATAGAACTTTCTCGATTAGATGGTACTAGCTCTATATTCTTACATTAATTATGACTAACAAATTTTGCATTTAGCATCCAAATATACCAGCGACATAGTACTATTGGGAGAAGAAGAAACACACCCAGAAATCACTGAGAGTGAACCGGAACAGACAAGTCTTCGTGTTGTTGCTGAAGTTTGTAACGCTGAACATCCAGGTGAGTTAAATTGTTTTCTGTCTAATTTATTATCGGTTTAAAAAGAAGAATGCTCGTGAGTAGTTTTTGAATATCTTTTGAACGATGATAGGTATACTGTAAAAAAAATGCGACTTCTAGGAGGACATGGAAGTCGGTTCCCATTTAGTCGCACAATTGCGCCTATTTTGAAGACACATCATGCGACTATCTGTAGTAGTCACATCCATCCGTCTACTTCTAAGTCGCATGGAAGACACTGAAGTCGGTTTCCATTTAGCCGTATTTTAGCGACTCTTTTGAAGTCGCTTTGATGTGTCTTCTGGAAAAGACACATTAAAAAAAATTTTCGTTGGGACGGGAAGATGTGACTACTGAGCATTTTTCAGGTTCACATGTCTTCCATGCGACTTCTATATGTCTACCAGTAGACACATTGATGACATATAGAATTTTGAAGACACAACGTAGTCATACAAAAGACACTTTTCTCGGTAGATACATCGCTGAAGCCGCATTCTTTTTTACTGTGTAGAGGACTACAATTTTCGTCGTTCGAAAGAGGAGATTTAACCACGTTTTTTATTAATAGAAAAATTTTAAAAATCTTTTCAAAAGTAGAATTTGATGGAAATGCCTGATTATCAAACGTTTCATGCGGTACTATTTCTGAGTTTTGTATAGTGCTGCTTGATCTTTATCTTTTATTTATTAGCGCAAACTATCTCATAAAGCAGAAAAAAGAGAAAAAGTACACATGCATAAGAATTGCAGTATCTGACAGTGGAGTAGCATACAAATTTTAATAAAAGGTCACAAAAAATAACGTAAAAACGTATGACGCACACCGATAATAAAAGTTGAGAGAAAAAGCCTTTAAAAATTAGAAAAACCAAGTAACCACTGCAGTACATGAATAAAAACTAAAGATAAGGGCTAAGTGCGAGACTTGCAAAGCGCACATAAAATAAAACACTCAAAAACGTAAAAAACAAAACAACGTTCTATCAATTCTTTTGTTGCTCAGTCTGTATCCTAGGTCAAAGTGTCAATAGTTGATTTGGAACTACTGACTGTTATTTTTGTCTCTTTCTTTTTTGACAAAATCGCTTTGTGAGTGAATAAGAAAGAATGATTGCAGCAAGGAATGTATTTATATTGTTCATTTTCACTGAGTGAAGAAAAAAGATTTCACTTTAAAATAGTTTTCTACTCTGCAAATGGAGAAGCATTTCATTCTCTTTTCTGACAAAAAAGTACGTATTCCATAAGTCATCTTTCACATTTTACATACATTACATTGTAATACTTTTATACAACAAAAACGCATAGGAGTATATATATTCATATGCCTTTTTGTTGTCTAAAAGTTTTATTTCTCAAGTTTTACTTTCAAAATGAATGTTGTTGCACAAAGTCTAAACAGGTTTTTGTACGAATTCAAAAAGCTTTTGTATTCATATACAGGTGAATCTTTTTGTTACCTATTCATACATTGAGCACAAAACCTTTTGATCTATGAAACTCCTGGAGATTCATTATAAAACGCGAATCCATTAATAGTTCAGAAATGGCCCACGAACCCTTTAAAGTATTGTAGGAAACCGTTTTTTTGTAGAGAGTAGTAATTATTTAGATATTTCCATAAAATTGTACTTTCGAAAAAGCTCTTTTCACTCTCGAGTTATTCAAAAAATACCGGAGGATCTTCTATCTTGAAATGAATAGTAGCTACGTTTAAGAACAGTGTATAATTGATTCTACTTATTTTTAGACGACTTTCTAACCGAGATTATTATAACATCCGTTGTTATTGATACACAAAATGGAAGTAAGTTTTCAGTGTTTGTTGCTGATATAATACGCAATTCTATGCATTTCTAACGTATGTTTTAAAGGCACAAATAAACAGTTACTGCCATTGTCGGTCAGTACGGAAGAATCCATTTCCACTTCACAACCGAATATATCCGGACAGGACACAGAAGCGGAAATCTCAACCGGCAGAATAAATACAAAATCAGAAACGTTAAATAATTTGAATGGTATATAAAAGTCATTTTTAAAAATGATCACTATTGGATCGCAAATACACTTGACCGTATTGATATATTTTAGAACTATTAAATCAGGAAGCAGCAGATACCAATCGAGTGATTGACAGTAAGTTTTTATTTATCTATTTTTCTTCTTATGAAAATAATTTTTATTTTAGCTCCTTTCGATGTGGGATTGGGACTACAAATAAGAAAGATAATGTCAACGGCACTGTTGCTACCCGAAACAAAAAAGAATAGTAAATTCTTCAAAACTGTTCTGTTTAACTTCTTATTATATATTTTTTGTGTTTTGTAGGTATTGAAATTGATTATCAAAGAAAACGTTCATTTACACACTGAATCTATCGTACATTTCCTAAGAAGAAGGCTGACATATAATTTATCTGTTACAGAGAGGAGAACCATTTTTTATTTATATTTAAAAGTTCCTTCAAGAACTGATAGAAATAGATATTCAGATTGGGATATAGAGATTCCTTTGCTGCTTGTGTGATGTTTGGTGTTCGATGAAAATCGAAGACATTTTAATGGGAGTTTCGAATAATTATCTTTTTATGATATGAATTTACAAAAACGAAGTGTGTATTCTTTATCTATTATTTTTTATCCTGTCTCGCAACTATACCTTCGCTAGTTCGACCCAGTTTTTAGTAAAACTGATATTAAAAATACGCTCCACACTTCATAACTTTGAAACCTCGGACTTTTTTCGAACGGTTTGTCTGATTGATGTTGTTCCTTCGCACTTTATGTTTGTTATTTTATGTAGATGTTCCCTTTCTACAGGCGTAAATTTATGCGATGTACGGTTTGGGAGATATTTTGGAAACAATTAAAATTGTTGTATATTTAATACTCTATTTATCCCTCTGACTCACAGGCGCACAGACAATAATTAAAACAGTTTTTGATAGATGATGTGTGAGTCACCGTTAGATAAATAGTTCAGTGTAATGTGTATGCGTGTAAAAAAAAGCTACACTGGCAGCGAGACAGGGACCGATCTAGCAAGAGCTTGTTTGTTATGGAAAGAAAAGAAAAGAAATAGCGAAACACATGGCGACTATGCAGAGTGCTCGTTGCCTGTTGCATAGGGAAGGAACGAACAAAAAGCAGCTGATTTAATTAAGGTTCAAAACAAAGTAGTCACACACTCTAAATTCTTGACTTTTTATTCTATTTTTAACCATGATTTAACACAAAAAACTCTATATCCCTATTGGAATATGCTTCACACTGTAAGAGAGCATTATGTATTCAATGTACATTTTTGAACCGTTTACTTTTGTATTATTCATCACGTTTTTAAAGTTTTGTTTAGAATTTAATTTCTCTTTGTTTGCTTGTTGAACATTCATAAATAATTATTAATTTATTACTTGTTTACTAATTTTTGAATACTAAAATTTTGCAGTTTTATTTTTTAAATTTGTTTGGTTTTTAAAAACATTTTTATTTCTCTTATTTTTTAAGCATCTCTTTTCTCTCAGAAATATAGATTTTTTCATAAAAAGTCGATATTGTGCTAAACTCATGCTTTGATAATCCAAGAAATCTGCTCTTAGAATACGTACAGTTTTCGCCAATAAGAAAGATTTCGGAGAGTTTTTGAAGCTTTCTATTATAGATAATCAAATGTTTATGATCATGTGTGTAGAATATCCGGATAAATGTCAAACTCATAAGTACATGGAATAACTCCGAAATGACTGTTCTGCAAATTCTCAAAGGCACATCTACGGCCTTATTCTTAATAACATTTATAAACTTGGAAAAATATTTTTTCTTGAATTTTAGAAATTACAACACGATGTATTTTGTGTGAGGGCAAAACACCGAGCTGGAAAACCGTGCATGAGGACACAGTAAACTTACTCAAAGATAATAGTAAACGAAGTGCAAAAGTGCTGTAAAAATCATTATTTTATTAAACTCTAACAAAGTATCAGTATGTCAGCTTCTACTTCTGACTTCTTACAGAAGTCATCTTCTGGCACTATGAATATGTAAACGATTTTATTTTGTGGTTGTCTTTTTCATCGGGACGCATCTTTTTACATTGTTGTCGATCTAAACGTTTATTTACCTACTGATACCCATGATGACATTTTCGATACATTCATCGCGATAAGTGCTTGTTTTATCGAGGCCGTCACGAAAATTTTGCAGTTACGGCGATAATTAGTTTATTTCGATATAGTAGCTCATTATCACGATAAAGATTGTTTTCGCGATAATGACGTTGTGGCAACAATTAAATTATTTATCGCTAACTGCAAAAACTTCGTGACAGCCTCGATAAAACAAGCACTTAGCGCAATAAGTGTATCGAAAATGTCCTCATGGGGACTTTTTGCAATGATAAGACAAACGAGAATATTGTTTCGAAATATACTTTAGTAGAAATATAATAACTATTTACGAGGGAACCTTCTAAAGTGCCGGACACCGGTCGACCTAGTATTTTGCCCACAAGTAGATCTTGAGGAAGTATGAGAAACCGGAGAAGGACTTGTCCTTTTCAGTTCTTTTAACCTGTGGCAATGTATGTTCAGAAAAATAGCATGAACGACTTTCGATCTAAAATTTTTGTCAATAAATACGCCTAAAGGGATGGACACAATAGAGGACCCCCTACGATAGAAGGCCTCTCTGTTATACGATAGAAGGCCTCCTCTGTTACGAGACTCCTCTTGAACTCATAACGCAAAAAGCACGTTAGAAGACCCCCTTCTTTTATCGACTTTTTGACCTAAAATATGATGATTTTGTGGTTCAATCAAACACTAATCTTTGCGTTCGTCTTTTCCCTCAGATGTTCTCAGGTTGAATTCATCCGATCAGATCCTTTTAATTCCGGTGATTTCCGGAGGACGGACGCCCGACTGGATCCGGGGTTCGGAATCTGCTCAATTCCTTCGCCTTCTGATATCTTTTCCTGGAGGATCCGGACATCGGATCCGATATCCAGAACCAGGCAGATCCGTTAATTTTCGTTAACTTCCGATGACCGAAAATCGACGGACCCTGTGTCGTGCACTTTATTTCTTGTCTTCTTTTCTGTGCGTATAATATATTCACCGTTTTGTTTCACGGCACGAGCACTTTAAATACCATACTACGGAAAATTAACAATGAGAAGTTGTTCTTCTCAAATTCTTAACAGTGTGAGTCATCGCTCACATTGTTCAATGGACGTGTTGTACACGTCCTAGCTAGTGGGTCCTCCACTCTCTCGAATGAGAGAAGAACCACTAGAAAATGAAAGAAAAAATTTAAGACTATTTTTAACCTCAAAATTTGGTCACATTCTGCCAAATCCGATTCATCGGTCGGAAGCTCCTGGAAGATGTCAGATCCGGTCGGGTCTTTTCTGACTCTCGATCAAGCGATTTCAGCTCAAAATCGGCTTCTTTTTAATCTTAATGAACAGAAACACATTTATAATCAACAATGTTCATCTATGCACAGTACTCACTAAAAACACGCGTTTTTATTTCGCTTTTTTACATATGTAATTAATTATAATATTCTGAAGACATTTTTCAGTTGAAATAGGCTAAAAGCCGGTTTCTGGACACTATGTTACGACTTACTTAATTTTGTATGTTTGATGAGGAAAAGTTAAATTATTTTGATTCAGATATACATAAATTATTTTTTAGAGTGTATGAGCTGCATTATTTAAATCATTAACTTAAAAGAAAGATGAATTTATTAATAAATATAGTTATTTGAATTATTTTTTAAAAGTACAAATCGCCCGTCGACTTTATTATAAAGTAAGTCGTAGCATAGTGTATAAACTAGAAAGTTTATATGGATGATATTTTGAGGGAATTTAAATTTTCAGGATGCTTTAAACATAATTTTGGTTATCTATTAGTTTATTCTCATTTTAGAAAGGAGTATTCTTCTAATATTGTTGCTAATCATTTGATTGAAAGTATTTGAACTATTGTTCTACCTATTGTAGTTTTGATCTTATTAGTTTATCCGTCTATTTATTTATTATATTTAATTGATGAAAACAGAACTAATTTTCATTGTACTTTAAAAGTAATTGATCATCAGTGATACTGAAGGTATGAAATTGACAGTAATGTAGAGTTTTGTACAAGGGGGTAAAAGCGGAATGGGCTGGAATGGGCCATTCCAGCCCATTCCGTACCATTCTGTACCATTCCATACCATTCCGTACCATTCCAAACCATTTTTGACAATTTCTTCATTTTTGACAGACTTATATACTATCGAGTGTGTATTTTTGAGAAACAATGTGTTTGTGCACATAATTTATCTGTGCAAGAGTGGCTGCTTCAATGAGCGTCTTTCCAATACAAGAAAAATTGGGATACAGCCTGCTGAAATGAAGATTTCAGGCTCAATCTGAGAGCCTGGAGGTTTTCAGACATGCTGATTCCAGTGCCGATAGCAACCTGCTTTGACTTTTACTTTCATAATGGATTTCTGAAAGACTAGGCTTTCCGAAATATTGCAATTAACTCCTGCACTCGGCACAATGGTCCGGAGTGGCGAAGTGTGTTGTTTTCTTTTAGAATAAAATAGTGATATTTCTCTCAATATTCTTCCCAAAAACAGAACAATCGTGTTTCCGCAACAGGACAATCATGTTCTTTTGTTGGGAATATTTCCCTGATAACGGAGCAATTGTGTTCTATTCTGCGAGTTCTTTTCCCACAGACAGAACCGTTTTGTTCTGCTTGTGGGAGCAGAGATTTCTGGGACAGTTCAGTTCAATAAAGTTTCCTTAAGCCCACGGTACTCCGAGCACTTCGGCACTCCACGGAGTGTCGGAATGCCCTTTTTCCCGCTTGACCCATTCCATACCATACCAGCCCATTCCAGCCCATTCTATATCATTTCAGCCCATTCCATACCATTCCAGCCCATTTCACCCCAGTCTACCATTCCAAAAACGCTTTTTCCCCCTTGGTTTTGTATCAGGTTAGTGATATTCTTCCTCATTTTCAAGCGGAAACGGATAAGATAAGATTTTTATTTTACTAAAATGCAGAATAAAACAGCTACTGTTCCACGGCTTATAGGCTTATTATACCTATTCCACGGTAGTATAGCAGCTATAATATTTATTTACTTAGTTTGGATGGGTTGACTGAGTTATGTTTTTTTTTAATTTTACTCAACAATAGGCGAAAATGGGTTATTTCACCTCATATAGGTTTTCACTAGGTTTTGGGAGCTTATTATATAAGCAAGCTAAATGTTTCCATGAGGTTCAGTGTGGTTGATTTATTACCTATGTTTCCATTCGTTTTCGGAACTACCACACTTAAAGAAACATTGATCCTGGGACT